CCTTCACGAATATGGTGCCAGTTTACCGTTCTAGGAGGGTAGACGGCTTGGTTGACCTGGGCGAGAACCGATCCGCGATCTCAGGGCTGTGCCCGTTTCAGGGCACTTGTCAACCGGGAAGCCTCTCTTTCATTTTTTCTTCCTCCTTCCTTCTTTTCCTTCCTTCTTCTCTGATCCCTCCTCCTTTACCTTCTCCCTCCAACTACTGGACTGGTAGATGCCTCGTGAAAATACCCCTGGACCCTCGCGGCGAGAGTACGTCTGGTTGACAACCATCTTCTCCTCTTCGCTACCGGACGAGCGAAAAATTCCTGCTCAGTAAGTTGGTAGTATAATAGAACAAGTCTAATATTAGTCTGCCCTCTGCTTCCCCACTAACAAACTAATTCATCGGCAGTTCTAAGCTCTTGCAGTGGTGGACTGGGGTGTGAAGGTGACGATCTGGTGGAAAAGTTAGGCCGTTACTAAAAGCTCCTGCATAGTTTTCGTTGGCACTGGAGAAATATTAAAGTGACTGGTTCAGTGGCTTTCTTGGATTTCGTAGAATTCGTCTTGTTCTAGGCACCTTCCAAAAGATAAAGGAGCCTGATGGTTACGGCCAAAGAAAGAGGAAGAAGCCGGATGAGGTACTGTGTCATTGCGGTCAGTCGGGGCGGTGTCAGGAAGCACTCAAGGAAACGTCTTCTACCACTGGTTTTTTTTCCCTGAATGGATCACTGAGCAATCACTATTGGTAAAAGGCAGCCGACGGCGGTCTTACTCCACCCCTCCTGACGCCGCCCTAACTGATTTCGTATCAGCTATAAGCGTTGTTTGACTACTTATGATGGCTTTGGTGGTATTTGAGTAAATTGCAGTGATCTAGTTCCCTTTGCAGAAAGAAATACCCGAGAAAAAGCCGGTTTCGGTCAACTCGCTCGATCGGTATTTCGCCAGTGTGGGAAAAGGGCAGACATGTGGAACTTTGAATCGGATAGAGACTTCACCTTCTACATCAAGTAATCCGGGTCCTTCGTCTTCTTCTCTGAACGACAGGAAAAGCAAAGACAACAGATTCTCTGAACGACAGGAAAAGCAAAGACAACAGAGGTAAATACTAATTTTTTTTACTAAATATTCTCGATGCATTTGTAGATGTCGCACTTCTTACAGCGCTCCCAGACATCGCTCGCAGACATTATTGGGGTGGAGGGTTTACAGACGTGTGCAGAATTAGTGAGAAAGGCTTTCGAAACGATCATTTCTTCGCGCAGTTGTACTAACACTACAGCATCAGACTAGCGCTGCATCCATATTGTCTCCTTTTCTTCTATGTGATTAGGTCTCAGACTATCCGGAATTTCTCTTGCGTCGGTCTGGGTAAATTTCCATTTTCCGTTTCTCCTCCCGATTCCAAAGAAAAACGCTGCCAGTATCGATATTAAGGGGGTGTGGTCAGAACACGCCGGTTCGCCGCAATCGCGCTTTGTACCAGGCGTTCTCCCGCTTTTATGCGTTTATAACACGACGAAAGGGGTGAATGTCGGAAGGTCCACACTGCAGCGACGCGAGGAAGGCGGCGTTGTGATATGTGTAGTGGCGGTGTCAGTGCGATCCCTGCCGAAGTTTCCATATTGGTCGCTCGCCCTCCCGTTCCTACTTCCATCTTCCTATGGTCTCCAGTTTTCCAAGTTTTCTAGAGCAGGCTGCAGCAGAGTGGTAGAGCTGTTCACAATCATCTATAATGGTATAGTAATAGGGTCGAACACGATCCCTTAGCGACCAAACTCATCTTCGTGATGAGATTCTCCCATCGATGCTTTCCGTGCTTTCAGAAGGCATCACATGTGCATCATTCGGCTATGACCGAAGATATAAAGTGGAAATGTTGCACTATCTGTGGACTCATCCAGCATCGGCAACACGGAATTCCCAACCAAAACCACAGGAGTCACAGCGAACCAGCGTAGTATCTGTTCGGTGGCATTCAGGTCTGCCGTGTAAGAGTCGAGCCGTCTCTTTCGCGTCGTATATGCGTAGCCGGAGCCAGCGGGAAAAGGATGTATGTCGGGAGAACCATGATGCGGGGAATCACGCTACATAGATAGTTCTCATTTGGGATATTCGTAACGAGAAAAGAGCCTTCGAACACTGAATGATGCTGAGGACGAACAGTTGCTTGGAGTGGAAGTTGAAGTGCTACAAGCGGCCTACTTGTTTGAAATTTTCTACAGGTCATGGTGGGGAGAGGGTAAATATTTTCTGAGCAGTATTTCATCGTTCTATTATATGTAGTGCATGCTTCCTGCTAATCACAACTTTCACTAACTTTTGTTTCAGGTAAAGAAGTAAAACAAACTACGCCATCCAAGAAGAGCAATACATCACCTCAGCGGACACCAATGTTGGATACTTATTTTGGGGTCAGAGGTGAAACGTCAAAGCCGACGCCTCGCGCTCTCCCGTCATCAACTGTTGGGAGTGCTGACTGTCCTATTGTACTTGAAAGTGGTCCAACTCCTCAGGCACCCTCTGCTTCTACCGCCTCTCAAAGTGGCCCATCTGACGAGGTGGCATTGAATCGTAATGTGATATGTCCGTCCTGTGGTGAAGACGTCATTGAATACTTTATCAACGATCACTTGGATTCCTGTATTTATCTACAATAGCTTTACTAATCTCACCCTCTCTACTGGTGTCTTCCGGTTTTGTGTCATTTCCAGGCTTTGAGCCTGTCCGGGTTGGGCTGTGTTCATTCTTTGAACGAAGAGTATAGGAGAACAGGAGAATCAGCGAATAGACGTTTTGGCGCGCCAGGGGAGTGGTGAGTATCGATCGGCGCCGGTCGCTAGCGATCCAACCTTCTGGAGAACGCCCATTTTCCTAAAACTTCGATTTGCCGATTCTCTTATTTTGCCGTCGCTAAGTATGAACGCAGCCTCGATGTTTTGGGTGTCTGTAAGACAATCGGTGCTCCGCGAATTCGCTTTATCTTGCCAGCGCCTTACTATAGATCCTTATTATGTGCTAGTGGCTAGGAATCTTTGATTCGCACTAAATTGTTCAGAAAAACAGGTGGGATACGGTACCCCAAAGCGTAGAACTGAGTGCGTAGGAGGGCTAGTGCCGTTTAGACTCCAGGCAATTTTTGCACCGAGCTCATTTTAAATGTGCCAAGATCACCAAATTTGCTAAAAACTGTATCTAGGGGTAATTCGACATCTTGATCACGAATATGACATTTTGATTCTTGCGCTTGGCGCTAATGGATGACACTACGGTTACCTGCGCTCTACTAAGGCTGAGCCTAGGAGGTAATCGTAGTGTCCTCTCTTGGCGCCAGCGCCAAGAAGTGGTGTCATACTCGTAATCAGGATGTTGAGTTACCCCTATATACAAGTCTTTAGCGAATTTGGTACCTTGGCACTTTTAAATGACTCGCTGCCAAAATTGCGTGGAGTCCAAACGGCATTAGCCGCGTAGGAGCAGGAAGTGCACACGGCAGAACTAGGTTTTCGGCTAGGCAGCCTATGACCACTGGGAAGGCTAGCTGTTCGCTCTCGTTTGGCCTAATACCGGAGCTACTGACCTTTGGTAGCTAAACCGGTTTGCGTCCCAGTGTCCGGCAGTTTCACGGTCAGCCGTACATTTAATATCACGGGATTCTCTCGGGAATGCTGTATCCAGCCTGCTTTCCTGAATTTCTAATCCTGTTTGATTTGCATATATTATTACGTTCAATTTGGACTAACAAATGGGGCTTTTAATGTAGCGCAAGATGTATAACACTGTGAGTTGCGATGAAACTCAACTTTATTAGTTTACAACATTACTATTATTATTAAACTGTATACAACAGATTCCCCTATCGTAGAAGAGGCCTCTTGTAAACAAAGCAAATGACGTTATCTTTTTGCGCCTCACAGTGTTCTGTCGTCGAAACCAAATACGTGAATCCTGCAAGAGTACGGTTTAGTGGAAGCTGAAGGAAATTATTTCTATAGTTGTGTCTTAGATGCTTTCTAGTTCGAAATTGTTGTGGAGAGTATTTAGGAGCGTGTTCCTATTAGGCGGAGCATCAGCTCAATCATCATTGGTGGAATAGGTGGTCCTTTAAGAGGCACCTCATAAGCATTTACCTCTGTTTCCCAGTTTTTCACTAAGTCCCAGCAACCTCCAAATTAACCTTCAACTGTACCTTGACTATCGACCAGGCCAGTGCTTCACAAGGGCCTCAGAGGGCGCCAGTGCTCGGTATTATTCTATTTTTCTTTAGCATGGTCTTGAGATCTTACCGTAAAAAGCGTTGGAAACCCGTAAGTCACAGTCAGGAGAACCATAATTTGTCGCGGCGTCGCACACCGCGCGTCGTGCCGCAACGTCCGCTGCAGTTTGAAAGGGATGTTTACAGTGAAAGGAAAGCTAAAATCTTCTAACTTGATCTCTCCTGCCCCAGGTGTCCCACTAGAGAAAAAAAGTTGACATTCGTATCTTAGCGGCCCTGCCAACTACCAACTTTACCACGGACGCGCGCGGACGGCATAGCTGCCACGCCACCGAATTACAGTTTCTGGTCACATACCATAAGGGTGGCCCTGTGCCTTTGGATGTCACTATGATTCCAGTAATTAACAGCGCGGGTAGCGCACCTCACACCCCCCCCCCCCCCCCCCCCGCTTGGAATAGGTCGCAAAGTGTTTCATTTTTGAAATCCGTATGCTTTCAGAATTAAATGTCCCGAGTAATTAAGAATTACCTGTGCTTGAACAGATGACGTCCACAGTGAAATCCGGGTATATTTTGATTGCCGTGTCATGAATCGCTCTTTTTGATGCCACCGCATCCTCTCTGACAATATTCTGGAAACAGCCATATCGACTTACTATTATTTGTTACTATTACTACCTACTATTGTTATTCATTCACATTTAGAAGGTGTCTTTACACGCGTTGTCAGAAAATTACCTTTACATAAGGGTATGCACATAGTAACTATAGTAATAATACCGCGGGTAACCTTGGCCACTGCATCGTATAACGTGTAGCGAACGCGCAATACATTTTCGCTTTGGGCGCTCTTGCTCCAACGGCATGTTCTATTTCCTGGTTCTCCGCTCTTCCCGACTAAAGTATGAACGCGACCTAGCAAATGCTCATTTAGTAGGGCAATGTGAAACGAGAGGCGGGCGATTCTACCATGAGCTCACGATGTCGCACCGCTGACGTCGCGTGTGGCGAGTCGCGGAGCAAGGGAACATCACTGGTCAGGGATCGAGTCTGTACAACCCCCCCCCACCCTTTTTTTGGGCAAGGGGGGGGGGATGGATGCGACCCCGCCTGCCGGGCCCTCGTCCCCTCCTCATCGAAATTCCGAGCCGTCTGGGTGAGGGGAGGGGTGGTAAATAGCACATGTGAAACAAGAAATTCACAAAAAATCAACCACCGCTCCTACAAAGCCAAAAAGTAAGTACGACTCCCTCCCCACAGTGACCAAGTACGACCCCCTCCCTTTTCGTCCGTGAAGCGAGAAAAATCAACTATCCAAAATAAATACTTCCCAGCCCAAAAATGACTCCCTCTCTGCGGCCCTAATACGCCCCTGTGGGATTCCCAACCAACGATGTGTGCCCTGGGAGCAATGTCATAGTTGCACTTCTATATCCACGTGGTTTGCCGCTGGACCGTGAGCATTACAGGGGATGGGAGGGAAACACGAAAATGCCTGCCATTTTCGTCCCACCAAAATTACATCACTAAACACTACGTTAGCATTCAAAATCGTTCCCTCGCACACGCCAGTCAGTGAATGCCGTACAACATACAGTTCATATCCCGAAGATGGGGAAGGCGTGGTGGCGTACTTCATTGAATAAACACGGCGGCTCCCGCCTATAATGGATTTTTGGAGTTTTTGGGAGATTTCTAATTGTCTTTGTCCGTCACAAGACCGGATTTGTTACTCCGTGAAAAACGCATCCTAAGCAATGTTCAAGTGGAGTAGCCACGCCCTCCCCATCTTTGTGGTGTTGATTGTGAGTACTGTCTTGAGAGCCATAAATGAGCCTAATCTGAGCAGAAGTTACAACCTGCCATAATGATGCTTCCGTAGAGGGTTTGCTGTTGCACTTGCTCGGCGTCCGTCAATGAGGTGCGTCCTACCTCCTTCTAAATGTTTGCAAATTATAGTTACCATAGGATTTCCGTCCTAGATCACAGAAATTTCAGCCTAAGCCTCAGCTCTCTTATCTATAAATATACTCGAAATCCCTGAGATCGGGTAGGCATGGCTGCATGTTTCAACTTAACCTGAATGTGTCTATGCTTCTGGTGAGATATTTGCATTTTGACACAATTGTTGTCGTGTCTCTGTCCAACCCAGAACAAGATGACAGTTGTCCCAGAGTGGAATATTCCATGAGTAACAGGTCCGCTGCCATGCTTCAAAATGCCACGCCTACTCTGGCTCAAGGGATAAGGAGTGTAGCTTAACACGTTCCGGACCGCGTGACACACATGGTGCGTCATGCATTTTCCTTTCTGCACCGTTTCCTACGGTCTATTTGGCAGTTTGTTCATGCTCCAAAACTATCAGAACACGTTTTTTAGGCGCAGAACACACATATTTCATTGGAATGTGGAAGAAACAGATGAAATTACTGGTTTTGATTTTGAAAAGTAACGAAGTGATGCGTAGACCCTCGCACAATGGTGGTCCGGAATGTATTAATGTTATGGAAGAGGACTAAATGGCGCTGAACGCTCAACTCCTTCTTGGCCACCATTAAAATCATCGAAAGTTGTGTCAAAATCTCGATTTGATTGAAAAGTTGGTCTTCAAGGATAGGTCATATCGATTTACATTCAGGCCACCAAGTTCGCTGAACGGCCACCAAGTTCGCTGAACCCGTGTCCCAGGGCTTGCGTGGATAGCTGTGTTTACCGAAGCTCTCTCCCTCACCATATAAAGAGGAGAGGTACAGCAACGAAAGAGCCACAGCGCTCATGGGTCTCCACCCACCCGCTTATCGCCGGAATCTTCAGATTGATCTCTAAAAATGACTCACGTCGGTGCGTTATTCATTGCCTTTCGTGTCTTCGCCCAATCCTTAGCCTGCCGGCGCGTGCGGTGGCTTCAACTGGTAGGATATCACAGCTAGAAGGAATAGGTTGAAGTCTCACCATCAGTTTCAACTGGGACGATGAGATCCCCCTGCAGACCAAACCTCTCTACCCTTCTGAATATATCTTTGCGCGCCAAATCCTTGCTCTCTTCTTCGCTCTTCAGCATAAATATTGATTTCAGCGCAGTTGATCACATTGCTACCTGGCATAGGACTAAGTACGTCGGCCAATTACATATTCTCCAGATCATGCATCAGTTGGCGAGCCGGTCATAGGCTCTAGACAAAGACCATCATTAGGGTTGAACATCTTCAGCGAGTCGCGTCATACTTGATCCCTTAGGGGGAGAGGACCATATTGCCTCGGAGAGGAGTTTTTGGATTGTCGTATTTCTCAGCTCTTCCCGGCTTTCAAGCAGTGGCTTTGAATGACCCTCCTTCGCCCCCCTCCTCCCCTTCCACCACTCTTCCCGCCGACGGCAGTTGTTTGTAGGAGAAGTTAAACAAAAAAACTCGGGAATTTAGGAAAATTTGGGAATATCGCGAGGATGGACGGAAAACGCTCAGAAGCGAGGCAACTTCGAGGGAGGCGGGACTGGCATTCCGGCTAAAAATTCTTCGTGTGAAGGCGGGACTGGCATCCGTTAAAAAGTCCCATTTCACTCTGCACAATTCCCAAAGGCGGGACGTGCTCTGGCTCTAGGGGGGCCGGATCTATGAGCACAGCGGCACGTTCTGGTTTTCAATAATTTTGTTCACTGGAAATCAAACGGGTGGCTAAAGTTCGATAACATGAAAACAAAGGCAAGCAGTGCCGTGATATGCGCCAGACAGCCAAAGGTTCGCTGTTTAGTATTTAGTTACCTGTTACGGACCCGAGATGCGAGGTCCTGACGCAACTCTTGTTGATGAACGTGTCTTGATAAGACTCATCTAACACGCTGACCTTACTAATTGTTAGATGACGCGTCGTCTTCTCGCTCCTAGCAGGTAACGGACCTATGCTATGTCTGCGTCCCTGCACGACTTGTCCACTCCGTTGCTTCACGTGGGGGAAATGTGCAGCTAGTTGTCATCTTACCTCAGATCGTTGTTTCGTCAGAGATGCGGCAATGGAGTTCGAAGATGGAAGATCGTCAACGGATCCTTCAGTGTCTGATGCGGAAGCTAAAGATAAAAAGATAGATTTGAGCATACGAACAGTCTGTTTCGCAGTAATCAATTTATTGAGCTTTTTAAAGTTCTCACCGGAAGGAGCGCCTGGTTCCTGTGAGGAACGAGACGGGGGTGGTGGAATGTCTGAGAGAGTTCCAGCAGAGCTTATTCCGCCACCGCCTCCTTCTGGGTATGGACCTCCGCCACCGCCGGCTGAGTATGGAGCTGCACCACCACCAGCTGGGTAGGGGCCTCCACCAGCGCCACCCAGTGAGTATGGAGGCGCACCGCCGCCCACTGAGTATGGAGGTGCACCTCCTCCTGCTGGATATGGACCTCCGCCACCGCCGGCTGCGTAGCCTCCTCCACCTGAATATAGAGAGTAATCACTTAAGTAGTCAGTCATCTCAAAACATCAATAGGCACTCACCGCCTCCGTAGTATTGAGGTGCAGCATAACTGGCAGCGTATCCACTGCTTGGCGATGCATAGCTACCACCGGAAGACGTTGCATATCCTCCTCCGCCTCCTCCTCCTCCTCCTGAAACCTCAGGAATTCCGAAAATCCTTTCGAATCCTCATTAACGTTTCTAGGCCCATACGAAGTGCTGACTAGTCTAGTGGGATGGTGGGCCACTCAAACGGCGGTCTCCTATCCCTTTCTAAAAAGCGAGGATTGCGAGCGAAAAACGGTCGCCGATGATGGCATCACAAAGGAAAGGCTAATCTTCTTCAGGGGAAGGGATACAGAGGCGCTGCTGGAATGTCCTCCCTCCCAACCTACATCGCCTCCCCCTATTCAACAATTATGAACAAACATTATGAACGTAATATGGGGCAGTTCAGCTACGCGGGGAGGACATTTTTGCAGCTTACTGTGACGAGTCATCTAGAGAGTTATTTGATCAGTTCACAAGAGTTGTCAAGTTTTACCATGGTGGGTCGACGAACTTGCTCCAGCTTCACAAGAGCTTACAAGTTTCGCCAAAGTGACGCTTGAAAACCGGAACTAGTGGCGCTTTGAAAGTCCGAAACGCTCCCCCTCTCCCTCCCGTCGCCGAACTTCGCGCTCACTATGCATAAAAAATATTATGAACAAACAGCATACTCTACTAAGGGGGAATTTGATGAAAAATCGAGTCACTCACCTCCTCCGCAACCACTTCCACGACATCCGCCACCGCCTCCTCCTCCACATCCGCTGCCAGAGCATCCTCCACCGCCTCCTCCGCCACATCCACTTCCAGTGCATCCACCACCACCTCCTCCACATCCACTACCGGTGCATTCGCCACCGCCTCCTCCACATCCACTTCCGGTGCAGGGGTAATGCTTGAACACAATCCACTTCCAGTGCAGGGCGACTAGCTGGAGCACATGACTCTTGCTACACGCCGCAACATAGACGGTTGCACTTGAGGACAGTATGCAACCGGTGGAGGTGGACAGACTTGTTGAACACACGCTGGGCATGGGGCTGGAGGAGGCACTGAAACGCACTTGATAATGAAAACAGTGGACACAGTGTTAGGGAGCGGAGCGTTGCGGATGCCTGTTGGCATTGGGTGGAGTGGCTGCGTTGAGTTCGTTGGCCACACCTTACTCTGCCCTTGCAATAATGCTGGCAGCAACCGCCCGCCCCCTGCTAATGTGCCCACTGCCTTTATAAACTCAAACTTTATCGATTTGCTTGTTGTTTTTCACATGAAGTAGATGACTTTATTTGGCCCCTTAATGCACTGACCTTCACTTTGAACGGCGCGCCGGGGCTAGCGGCACGCTTACGCCGCACTCTACCTCACCACCTCTTTATGGCTATCATCTGGAGGAGCACCAAAAGTTCAAGGCGGTTTTGCGAGGCTGTTGGGCCCTGTAAAACCATTACTTAGTGCTCCTTCTAATGGGGAAATGCATGGCAAACATCGCCCCCGTTCTTACTCCTCTCCCCCCCCCCCGCCACTCCCCACCATCCATCCCTTAGGACTTACAATTCCAGATCCACGTATAAGAAGCTCACCTCCCAAAACACGACGTGAAAATAATTCAAAACCTTTCCACATACCTGAAGTTGACACCCACAACTTGCTGGTTGTGGTGTGCCACAACTGCAACAGCAACTACTTTGTCCACCTCCACCTCCGCCTCCAAAGAATATAGCTTGACTGGAGGCGAAAAGAGCCAAGATCACAGGTGCAAGGTACATTACCTTAATGTGAACGCCCGTTTGAGCAAAAGGTGCCACGAAACGAGTGACATTCATTTGAAACACTTAAAAAGAAATCAGGGGCCGAAAAACTTGAGTGAGGCATGTTTGGAGAAGGAGCGAGGCTGCAGCTCATGCGCGCCTTGCTGGCCCGGCTACCAAGGGAGGGCCATGGGACAAGAAGGATCTGGAATGATCCGCGCGAAGTAGAGGAGCAGGACATGGAGCGGCCAAACGTCGGTTAGGCCTACGCAGGAATCTCGAGATTAGGAGATCCCTGTGGCAGGAAGTTTTACACAGAGGGCTTGCGGCCCAGTTCCGCGGATTCAGCCGGGAATCAAGTCCGCTGTTAGTCCGCTGTTAGCCCAGTTGGGGGAAACAACCAGCTGGGGTGACTCGGGGGGGGGGCGTTTTGGGGTCGATGTCGGTAGCCCAGAGGCACACGCTAGCCCAGATCCATTGAGAATCTTGCAGTGAATCCATCTTGCACCGCGTTCAGAAGCGCCTTTTGAAACAGGCGCCTCAAAAAATTTCTCGGCCTTTTCGGCTGCCGTTCTGCAAAGTTCGTCAAATCTTTTTTTCTCAACCCCATCTTTCGGGCAATCCAGGCTAACCTCCGCCTGTCGTCAGAAAGCCAACACGAAATCTCAAGGGCATGTTGTTAAAGCTGTGTTCCAAACTTGTCTGTGCAGGTAACAAGGCTTACGATCCTCAGAAAGTTTCTTGTCAGGAAGGGGTGCTTTAAAGGCAGTTCGCGACCGCAAATTGCGGGAAACGGAACTCAAATAGGCACAAAAAAGTGCTAAGTATCTGATTAGCGGAGAAAAGCAGCAGAAAAAGCAGTCCGAAATGTTATAGAGAATAGACATAGTGGACAAAAGACATATAACATAGTGGCTACTAGCTAGGTTAGCTAGCAGCTGGGAGGTCGGCGATGGGGCCTAAGGGGGTGTCCATGGGCGCTAATAGTCAGCTTGTTAGCGGGAGCAGTAGTTCTTGCGCGAGCGCGACGTTTTTCACATTTTGAAAGGGTTGGCGCCAGTCATCAAAAATCGCCTTTTCCGGAATCGTCCGACACATTTGAGATGTCATAGCCTTATTTTTATCGCGGAATGTGCCTTTAATTCTTGAAGGGAGCCGTCTGCTGGGTAAGAAACGCCTATCACTGAGAGTGGTTATCGAAAGGGAAATGGTGTGAGAAGTGTAAATCAGTGATTGATATATTGAAGGTGAAGGTGGAGTTTTCGCCAACTTCCATTGAATTAGGGTCACATCTGGGAATGGGAACAACTCGTACTCATCTTGTCAGAAAGAAATCCTCCTGACAAGAAAAAGCACTCAGAATCCTCTAATTCAAGAAAATCAGCATCAAAAAGGATTAGCAATAGAAAACTGAAGGGGGCTTTGTCATAACTTTTCCTAGCTTCTCTTGCATTAATCTAATTTTCATTTTGAATTATTACTATGGAGTGGTGAGGATAAAAAGGGGCGAGTAAACAAACTGTTCGTGCCCTCCAGCACACTAGGCGAAATCTGGTCGCCACCAAGTTTATAAGTATTAGCGGAATGTAGCTGACCCATTTATCAGTACTCGTTCCGTGAAGATCAGGTGTGGTGTTCGAGTTGTTTGCCGGTATCGCGATCTCAAACTCACTTATCGGTTGTGATTGCAAAGCGGATCTCCTAAATTAACAGTGAAAGTTCTCAAACAGGTATTCGGGTACACACCGGCGTTGTTTTGATAATCGGACAGACATGCAGAGGTAGGGAGGGAGGGGGGGGGCAAAAAGGCACTTAGCTCGCACTAGCAAAACTAGCAAAGCTTACGCCGATGAGATCCATAAGGTCTTTAGGGCAATATCACAGACGATGAAAAGTAGAGGCCATGTGTTTTTACAAGTCCACAGCTGACGAGGGCTTAAAAAATTTACCAGTTAAGAAGTAGGGTAGAGATGACTAAAACTGGTTCTCTCTTAACTTTCAGGTCCATTTTCCTGTTCTTTTTCATGACCTTCCTTTCGCATTGTTATTTCCCCTGAAAACAGACTCAACCTTCGAGGATATCCTCCATATGTTAGTGGGTCTGCAGCTGCAGTAGCGTGCCCCTTTCTCTGATTAAAGGTGCACGGGAACTGAGGTAGGGACCGATACTCGGTATCGACTTCACTCTCTACCCGCTTTATCCTCAAGGTGCAGCATTTGCACTGAGCTAAGGAGAGCGCATTCGACTTTGGTTAGGCGTATGGGTTGCCATGCAGTAGCGCAGGCGGTGTATGTAGAGAGACAGTACCCGAGTACCACTACCACTGTATGCTGCGTTGCACTTCACACAGAGGGACCAAAAAAGACACTTCGGCCGAGTCACATATCAGTAAAGTTTTCGCAGCCCAGACAGAAGACGTGGATACGAGTACCAGGGCAGAAGATACCCAAGATGTTCCTCTATAAGCAGGAGCGGTAAG